TAAGAGATTAAAATATGCACTGCATTAAGCAAATCTGCTGCAAAGCAACGCAACTCTTTAAAGTGGTTTTTTTTTAAAAGTACCTTGGGGACTAAGGTTCAATGGACCTAAGCCACGGTATTTTCAATTGCCTCCTATAATGAAAGCTGGACGTTGAATGGGGAAGACAGAAAAATCAGTACCTTTAATGTGAAGAATATTCAAAGTATCATGGACTGCCCAAAAAACCCACCAAATCCCTCCTGGAAGAAATATAGTCAGAATACTCCTAAGCAGCAAGGATGTTGAGATTCATCTCACATACTTTGGACATGTCATCAGGAAAGAACAGTCTCTGGAGAAGGATGTCATGGTTGGTAACACAAGAGTATCAGAGAAAAAGGAGAAGATTCTAGACAAGATGGATGACACAGTGGCTACATCAATGTCAAACATAATTGTGAGGATGGCGCAAGACAGGGCAGTGTTTCCTTTGACTGATTATCGTGTCACTATGAGTTGGAACAGACTCGAGGACACCTAACAACAACATAATTTGAAAGTCTATGATCTTACTTAGCATGCCACTTCTATGTCTAACAAATTAGTGGGAGAAGGAGCCATGGTCTACCTCTTCAGTCCCTTCAGATCTCCATACCTCAACCTTCACAGATTATCCAAAAGACTGCCTTCAGTACACTATCCTTCCAGAGTCTATCACCCTCTCAGCCAGCTACCTCCGTAACCTGTCAAACGTATTATTATCCCTATCATCATCTATTGTACTGCTTTATTCACTTTCTCTTTCCTGCTACATGATTTGTTTCTTATAACCTGGATTCGTATTTGACTCATCTTTAAGGCCCAATGCATTATCTGAAACACATGGAATCTGTCGTGAGTCAAAACTGATTCAAAGGCAACTGGTTTGCTTTGTTTTTGTCTGGGTTTGGTTTTTCCTTTGTTTTAATTTTTGTTGTTCGTGTATGTTTAATCCAGAGCCTTGCTTGCTTAGTCTGTGTGTGTCTCTGTAACGCAAAATAGATTCATGTGAAAGTAAACAGGGATCACATTTCTTATGTGACTTTTCAGAAAATGCTAATATTTTACCCTGCCAAACAACAGCAGATGGATACCAAGTATTACTAACAGCCAAGCCAGCAAAACGCGAACATGATGTCCATTCACCCCTCCTGCTTCCTCTTAACTCAGTCTGGCCACAGCCTCTGCCTTGGAAGAATGCCTGTTGCTCAGGCTCTTCTATCTCTGTGCATTTTGCACTTGTCTCCATAATCCAGTAAACCCAACCTACCTAATACACTTTGATTAAATT